GTAGCCGAGCAACGCATCAAAGGCGTGCTTTTTTTGGGGGGGGCGAGGGTCCTTGCTCGGAGGCACCTCGCTTGGCCTCCTTGGGCGCTGCCCTTCCCCCACCGTTCCAGACAAAGAATTCGCCCTCGCCACCCCCACGGCTTTCCAGCTGACGAGGGCGGACTGCCCACCCTGGCGCCGTTCCTAAGCGAGTCAACGCGTCTCATTGGGTGGGCCCCGTCCTCTGGGGGGCCCCGCTCCGCTGTGAGGGCCTTTGTGCTCCCGGCGCGCGATCACCCTCTGCCAACGGTCTTCCCAAGGCGGTCCTTACCAGCTCCTCGTCCTTGAGAGACGTCCGGGTGGCCATCGCGGAGGTAATTCCAGCTTTCCGGGACTGAACCAGGGACTGGGAAAGGAAGCCGCCTCAGTCACTTGGGGCACAGGCAGAGCGGGTGCTCCCAAGGAGCCTCCCTCGTCTTGGGGGCACTTAAACGCCCCCCCACACCCACACCCACACCCACACCCACACCCACGCCGTGGAACAAGCCCTGAGCTCCTTCAGCAAAGAAGGGGCAGGAGCCGTCAGAGAAACAAGCAGGCCCCCTGCCACCAAGGAGGCCCCCAAGCGTCCCCAGGACAGGCCCTCCCCATCTCCCGCCATAGAGCCGACTGACCATCCGGCTGAATGCAGCCCCCGCCTCCCAAAGCCCGGGAGCCAGACCCCTCGCACGGTCAACTGACTCCCCCCCAGCCCATCTTTTAGAGACGCCCTTTCCTGAAGCTGGACAGCCACTTTTCAGGATACTCTTCATCTCCACTTCCCCCCTTAACCTTTCTGGTCTCAGACGCCCCCCCCCTTCGTGCCGCACTGTTGACAATCATGCGCAGTTGGCGTCCCTGAGGGTTGGCACAGGGGCTTTCCCTGGCACCCGGAGGCCAAGTCGACACGGCTAGAACGGCCCTGGGCACCCACCCGCTGCCGGAGGGTCAGCCTGCCAGGGCCTTAAGTGGGGGGCCTAAGGGTCTAGTGGGGAAGGGCCAGGAAAAGGGGGGAAGGGGCAGGCAGGAGGGAAAGGAGGCTGCAGGCCCTCTGCACGGTGCCCCCCCCGCTGCCCCACCCTTGGGGCACACAACGCTGCCAACAAGCAAGCCAGGAAGCAGGTGACCAGCAGCCTCACCCCCCCCGGGGCCCTCTGGCCCCACGGAAGCAAAGGGAGATGGGGGGGCCCTCGGGAGGACAGCCCAGAGCCCCCCACACTGGAGTCGCCCAGCGAAAGAGCACAGAGGCTCACGGAGTTACGGACGGGCGAGGCAGCGGACGATGGCCATTTGCAGCTAAAGAGGTTCCTCCCACTGAAAAAACGGGAGGGAGCGGCAGCCCAGACAGGAAAGGGAAACCAGCAGGGGAGATGATTGGGGGCTGAGAGCAGGGCCCTAAGGTGGGCGGGAGGGCGAGAGGGTCGGGTTCTCCACTTACCATGGCCTGCGGAAAGGAAGGTCAGCATACAAGAGAAGCACAACAGGTTAGCACTCTTAGTGCCCCCCCCATCTTCGGCCGGGCTCCGTCTCGGCCAGGCGCCTTGGGGGGGGGGCAGCCCTTCTGATGCCACACCTCGGCCACTCCCCAAGGCGCGGGGCAGACATCAGCAGCCCCCCTTCCCTGAACCTTCTCCCATGGAGGTTTGGGGAGAACGTCTCCCCTCTTAGTACCCAAAGGACTCCGGGAGGCCGGCTTTCTTCCCTGCTCCCCAGGGGAAGGGCCTGCGACCACCGTTCCCACGTACTACTAATATCCACCCCCAGCAGCTGTTGACATCTGTGAAACCCTGCTAAAAGCAGCGCTTTTTGCTTTCTTGTGGTTTTCATTCTACTGCTTTGAAAAACTGGAAATATGGACAGGTGGAAGGGTTTCCATCTACTTGCGCATGGCCGTCTCCAATAAGTCCCTTCACAGTCCCTGCACACTGCTAGAGCTGGCCTGGCTCAGTGGGTGGGAGCAGCCGGCTGGGCAGCCAAGGGCCAGGCCTTTGAATCCCTCCCCTGCCTCCTGGGGGGGGGGCAGCCACGAACAATCCGGCTGATGGAGACACCTCGCCCTCCACATGGCCTCAGGCCCCAGAGGACCCCCCCAGAAAGGAGGACTGGGAAACTGGGACTCCGCCCCACACCCAGCACTTCCCAGTTCTAAACAAGCTGCGCTGAGCCATCTTCCCCCGCACACCGGCTGCTTACTCCTTCGTAGGGCGTGCTTTCCCAACGGGCACTGAAGCCAGACGGGCTGATCTGCCCGATCCTGGATCCCCCCCTGTCTGCCAAAGGCATGACACAGAAGCAAACCCCACAGGAGCTGGAGGATCGGCCCGGTGGGGGCTTCCCCGAGGAGGACTCCGAGCGGTTCTCCTTCAATGTGCGGCGGTTTCTACCCAACCAGCCTCGGCTGCTCTTGGCTGTTCGCCTCAAAGAGGAATCCAAACTAATCAGGTCTAACTCACAGAAAAGTCCCTTCAGTCAGGACAGGGGTGGGGGCGCGTACAAGAGAAAACCAGCGCTCACCAAGTCACTGACGAGCGGAAGCGGTTTCTTCTTGCGCAGGTCCGGCATGCTGTCGATCCCGTAGAGACCACCGGCCGGCCTAGGAGGAGAAGGTGCGACGGTGAGCGGGGAGGAAAGGCAGTGCGTGACGGGCACCCCCCTGCCAGCTGGAGCCACGGAGCGGCCGAGCAAGGCCTCCTGCAGGGCGCGAGGCGCTCGGACAGCCCAGGAACTGGCATGAATGGGAGGAGGAGGAGCAGGAAACAAGACCCGTCACCCCGGAAGAGCTGTGGGTTCAATGGGGCAAGAGGGGCAGACGGGCCTGGGCACAGGAGGCCTCAGGGAGGCCTTCAAGCTGCCCCCTGGTTCCAGGGGGTGGGCAGGGAGGGTAAGGCCTGTCCTCCAATAATGCCTGGCATGCCGTCCGATCGTCTTGCAACCAAGGATTGGCGCAAAATCACTCCCAGTTCCAGCCCCAACACGGCACATGGGTCGATCGGGGAGAGAGAGGGTGACGTTGGTTAACTCTAATCTGCAGTGAGTCTCCCTCTTGCCATTTTACTGCCCATTTATCCACTCTGGGGAGACCTATTGGCCGCCTGCGACTGCGATGCAGTTGTCCCCTCCACCTCTACAAATTTGGCAGGGGTCAGCCACCCCTGGAAAAATCATTCTGGACCTTTTTGGTCCAGAAGAATATAAAACCACCAGGAACCACGGTTATCTCTGGGCTCAGCCCAACTCCAGGTCACTCAAGAGCAAGTTAGAAAGTACGGGTCCGAATGCAGGCCCTTATACCCCCCCCCACTCCCCACAATGAAGAAGGCTAGAACGCCGGCAAGCAAGAAAAACTGGAACGTTTTGCTGTGTTGGAATGAAGGCACACAGGTTGTGTTGCAGGTGAACAATATCATGGAGGGAAGCTGTCACTGAAATTTAAAATATTGTTGTAGTAAGTTGCATGTCTTTCACAGTGACTAACTCTGGGGAGTGTGTTCTCTGTGCGCTGCTAGAAGTCTATTGCCCTCAAGAGAATGCTTGTCGACTTTAATAAGGCCTTGTCATGCTGATGCGCAGAGACGTTTGGAAAAAACATGAGCAGCAAAGTTAGAGACACAGGGATCAGGGTGATAATCGGCTACTCTGCAAGGAGCACAGGGCTAATTACTCCGCCAACGAGGCAGCGGGGGGGGGGCCTCTTGTCACAAACTGGTGTCAGAAAGCTCATGGTTGGCCCTGCCTGGTTGGTGATGGGGGGGAGGCGGCTCCTTACCCCTCCCACAATGGCATGGCCGCCCACGGCCCGCTCCTTCTGACACACCTCCAGGGTCGGCTTCGCTCTGGCTGCCTGACCATCACCCCCCCCCCAAGCCCAGCAGAGCGGCCACCTGCTCTTCCCGCCTTCTGGACAGCTGCCCTGCTTTCTCCCTCTCCGGAGGTCCCACCAGCTCTCTCTCCACTTCCAGCCGTCCAAACCAGGCAACATCTCCTCGGAAAGCGTGACTGAGGCGGCCAGGCGGCATAAGAGGTCTCGTTCCGAGAGCCCTGACCGAAGCCCTCCGCCCTTTCTTTCCAGGATGGCCTCTGGGATCACAATTTGGAAGCTCCCTGGCTTGGGTGCCCCCTCTTCTGTCTCTCTCTCTCTCTCTTTTTGCACATCAGACTGGCCGAGCGAGCGACAGTCCAGGCAGAAACCGCCGTGGAATCAAGCCCCCACCTCCAGATGCCTGTCCGTCCGCGATGGGCCAAGCATCCCATTCCAAGGCAACACACTTAAAGGCAGACACGCGGTGCCTGGAGGAGAGTTCCTGGCCTGCCACACTGACCCAGCTGGCCCCGGTGGGGGGTGGGGGTGGGTGCCCACCTCCTTTTCCTTGGGTCCAGGAGGCACAGGAGGGGGGGCTGCCACCCAATGCAGTGCCTCTTCCTCTCCCCCCCCCCCCCCCCCCCAGGCATCATTCCCCCCTTGCTCTCTGTCCCCACTGCCCTGGGAAAACCATGCCCTGCCACAGGCTCCAGCCAGCCAGCCAGCCAGCCTTCCACCAGGCCCCAACCTGAGCCGAGGAGCTTTGGCTCTTTCCCTTTCTCCGAGCCAGCTGCCCTTGGAGGGGAAACTTCCGAGGGTGCCCTTCTGCCCCTCTGCCCCGCCAGCCACGTCTGCTGCTTCTGTGCATCTTGCAGGCAGCTCATGAGAGGCAGAGGGAGGTGTTGCCTACCGTGGGCAGGGTGGAGGAAGACCCACAGCTCCCATGGCGGATGATGGCCTCCAGGCGCCCTTGCAGCAGCACATGGGCCATTGGGGGGTGGGAACTGCGCAGGCGCTGGGCCGCGTGGCTGCAGCGGTGGTGGGAGACCCTTCTTAGCCCAGACAAGCTGGGAAAAGCCAGTGGCGCCACAAAGGGCTGGAAAAATTTAAAGACTTCTTCAGTTTCCTTTCACATATGATTAGGGTTGTCTAATCCATCATCTGGAAACCTGTTTTCTATGGAAAGAGGGTGAGGGGAAGGGAGTCTGAGAGGAGGGCCTCTCACGTAGACCTGGGTCCGCACAGGGCTTCCAATGGCCTCCCTGGCCCAGACCCCCTGTCCCGTCCTGACACTGGACATAAGCGCAAATGTTACAGACGGAAGCCACAGGGCTGACCTCCAACACATGGAAACCTCAAGAGCCTCCCTGACCTTCTGTGGCTCCCACCAGCGATCGCGTGCTCCTGGCTGGGCGGCTGACCGGAGGGGATCCCCCTGCGCCCTCTGACAGCAGGGGAAGGTCACCACGGGCAGAGGGGAGGAGGCACGGCAAGCCCCACTCTTGCGGATCTATGATCTCCCTCCCTCCCCCCCAACACCCCAACTCCCCAGTTTAAGGGGCAAACGCCGTAGCTTTCATTTGGCCACCAGCACCTTCGCTCCCACAAACGTCACTGGAGACCGACGGGCAACGAGCGGTGAGCAGGTTCACAAAGGCCACTTACCCTGTTTTGAACCACGGTGACAGTGACAGATCGCCATCATCTTGGCCCTTGAATGAATAAGAAATAGACAGAATGAGTTTCTCTGGGCAAAGGGAATGCCAGCCGTAGCCTTCAGAGCGAAGGAGGGGGTTTCATGCGAGGAAATCCACAACGGAGGAAGCTCCACATTCAGAGGCATCATTGGAGAGAGCAGGAGGACAGGGCACTTCATGGGGGACGCAGGGGAGGGAGGCGTGGTGTCGGACAGGCTCTCGCTGCACCCGGTCGGTCGGTCAGTCGGTCGCACGCACGCCCACCCACAAGAGGCCTGGAAAGCCTGTTCAGTGCAATCCTGAGTGGCCGCGCCACCCTCGCCCTCCTTTCCCCGGAACCAGCCTCTCTGTCACAGAGAAGCACTCCTAAGGGAGACCTCGCGAGAACTCTTCGAAATGTACATGGATTTTTTTTCACAACAGCAGCTACAACGACGACACCCAGTCAGCGCAAGGCTGAGAGTCCCAGAACCCAGGAGGCCACCAGCCTCCCTCCAGCCCGGCTCCTTTCGACTCTGGGAAAGAGGAGGAGGATGCGGCTTTCCAGCCTGCCTGGCGGCCCCTCAACCAGAGCAGACGGCTTGGGCAGGGCCGGGCGAAAATGTTCTGCCCCCCCGGGACCCTCCAGGGCCTTGCAAGGACCACCAGAACTGGGTAGGACACACCAAAAAATGCAACAGTCACACAAAGAGAGGGAAATGAAAGAAAGCCACAGGAAGCCAGAAATCTTCTCCTGCTTATGGAAAAGGAAACGTCCCTGGTATTACCCACGGGCAGGGAGTGGGGCCGGCAACTTCTTCCAAAGGGCAACGGCTTTTCTTAAGAGACTCCCAGGAGTGGTGCGGCACTCTTTTTCCTCCTGGGCCAAGGCACCATCTTTTGCAAGGGTGGATGGGCCCGGAAACAAAAACAAAAACAAAAACAAAAAAAAAGAGGGGGGGGAAGAGGGGAGGGAGAGCGTGATGCAGGGAGGGGGCCCTACTTAACTGCTAGTCTCAGCTCCACGGCACGGTCTGAGACACACACACACACACACACACACACACACAGAGAGAGAGAGAGAGAGAGAGATATGCCCTGGCACAAGCAATGGGTGGGCTGAATACAAGGAAAAGCAGGACAACCCCCTCCCCAATGCTCAGCTCCTTCTTTTGGACCACTGTCGACCGGTTCTTGACGGGTGATGCTAAACCCCTGCAAAGCATCTACCCCAGGAGGGCTTAGGCAACGGAGGTGGCTGCAAAAAACTCTACCTCCTGCAGCAAGGAGGGGGGCAGGGAACAAAGGATGGGGGGGGGAAACGTTCCTAGCGCTTCCCTGCGGCTGCCTCCGTCTTGCAGGGGTGGCGTTTTCACTTTGCCGCACTCGCCAGTGGAGGATGGCAAAGCCAAGGATGGCGACGCCGGGCAAAGGAAGGTGCTGGTGGTTGGTCCCGCAGAACAGAAGCCAGGGCGTGGGCAGGGCATTTCGGCTGCCCGCGTGAATCATTCCCTCCCCGACAACAGAGGAAAGAATATTCCCCAAATGCCCAACGCTTATCTAGGTCTCTTCAAAAGCCCCCATGGAAAGGAGGAGGCTGCACAGCTCATTCCGCAGATCAAGAGCACACGCGGTCGGTTTCAGCAACAAGGGAAACAAACCCAGAGTCGAAACCAAAGGACTGCCGAACCACCAGGGCTAACCGACTCCCCTGAGTGGGAATCTTTGTGGCTCACAACCTGCATTTTTTAGACACGTCGTGACTAACCCAGAACAGGATCTGGAGCTCCAGACACGGCACAGTTGATGTTGAGCAGAGCAGAGCCGGTCTGGGAACAAACGGCACTCAAAGCACGCCCGGCCTCTTGCTCTGCCCCTCCTTGACTCACGTTCATGGGCTTCTTTATTCTGAAACCATGCATTCCGGCTTTCTTGTTCTGCCACATTATACTTATGCATTTTTGGTGGGTTTTTTTCTAAAAGCACAACCACAGAGAATTAGGCAGCTGAGTACTGGATTTGGTTCTTCCACTCAGGCAGAAACATGATGTCAAGCAAGGTCTGGGTCCAAAGAAAGTGGGAGAGAAAGAAAGAGAGAGATGCAGGCAGGCCAGATCATGGCGTGGGCTCACCTGACTGCCAGGATGGGCACTGGTGGCCCTCGAGGCGTTTCTGGGCTACACCTTCCATAGCCCATCATCCCTGACCATGCTGGCCGGAACTGTTGAGAGCTGCAGTCCCAAAGCATCCTGTGGACAACCCCTCACTCTGCAGGCCCACCTCCTCCTCCTCCTCTGGACACCCTCCCCCTCCCCCTCGTAGTGCATGCTTGAGCATCCAGGCCCCCCTTTCCGACCTATAGTGAAGGAAATGTGCAGAGATGATTCCCACCCCCCACCCCCAGGAGTGCTTCAGTCTTGGCCACTTAAAGGGAAGGAGAAAAGTCGCTTGCACTGGGTGGATGTGGGAGAAGAAAGATGACTTAAGCAACTGTTCAGAAATGGTTAAAAGATGCCTCTAAGGGTCCCGAGGAGGGACAGGGCGACGTCCCTCTTTCTTGGTAGAGGCAAGCCTTGTTTCCCCATCGTGACACACCAAGACCAGAAAAGGTGGTCCCTTGCCTGTCCAGGTCTTCTCTGGCTCTCTCCACCCTTCAGTTTGGGGACCGATTCCTCTGAGAATTCCTAAATGAAAAATTTGGGGCTTCATCTTGCCCAGATCCCACCCAAACGGAGCAGCAGCACCCTATTCCACGACTGCCCAAAATAACCTGGAAGGTGCACCTTCTCCTCCCCAACAGGCAGAGCCCAGCTGGAAGTCCTCAGGCACACTGCCAGAGGCTGCGACTGCATGTCCTAGAACTTAGTCTTGATGTACAAATTACCGTATTTTTCGCACATAAGACGCACTTTCCCCCCACAAAACAGGGGGGTGGAAAGTCTGTGTGTCTTATGGAGCGAAGAAAACAGATTATATTTTCCTGTTTTCTTCTCCTAAAAAATTGGTGCGTCTTATGGAAAGGTGCGTCTTATGGAGCGAAAAATAAGGTAGTTCACCAGAATATCCCTGAAGATCAAAACAGCCAACCTTAGCTCTGTCCATCCGGATGGAACGATTTGCTCTCTCCATTTTACAGAAAATGGCTGGGGGTGGGTGGGTGAAACCCCTCACACACAGAACCAGCAGGCTTGCAAGCCGCCTTGGGGCCTTTTAGGGAGAAAGGCAGAGTAAAAACCTTTGAAACAGAAATATAAAGGACTAGTTCTGTGACATTTTAAGGGCTCCTAAGCATGACTGCCTTGGTGTGTTCCCTCTCCTACAGACCTCCAGTTCCTCAGTGACCCAAAGATTCATGCCACGTGGGGTGGGGTGGGTTGGTGGGGGTGGGGGAAGAGAGGGCTTCTTCTCTAAACGAGAAGAGCTGCCTCAGTCTTGTCGTGAGGCCTCTCTCCAGGTCACGGCGTCTCTCTTGGTCCCCGCAGAAGCGGACGGAGGGCGGTCGCCCTTCCCTACTTCAAGGCCGCGGGGCTCTTCCGCGCAGGTTTAGAGGCATGCTTCCCTGAGCGAGGACAGGAATACCCATTACCGATACCGCCATACCAACTACGACACATAAAATCACCCACTACTCCCAAATTCTCCCCAGACAGCAAGAAAGAACACAGGCTTCTTTCCTAAGCAGTGAGGTTGCCCTGCATGCGCACGCTCAGCCATGGCTTCTGCCTGGCAGCACAGTGAGTCTTGCACCAGAAATCAAAACCTGGCAAAAACCTGGCATTGAGATGCCTGTGCAGAATCTAATCCTGGAGCCTCCCTCCACCCACCATCCCAGCCATGCCTGATCCTGAGCAAAAGGACAGAGGTTCAAAGGGGCACTTGTTGGCCTTGAGCCGGGGGGGGGGGTTCTTGCCATGGTTTTTGCCCAGGGGTTTTTACTGGCTAAACAACC